TCCAGCTTCTGCAAGGATGACAGACTAGTGCCCCCTGCTGGCCCTTCAGGGTAAGATAGAGACTCACTAAAATGCCCAGTTCCCCGCTCCGCCTCCCAAACAAAACAAAACAAAGAGACTCTGAAAGATTTTTCTTTTTCCCCACAAGCAACAATTTCTTGAGAAGAATCTTATAAGAGCCATAAGTAGTACTGCACACCTTTAATGCCAGCATTGAGGCAGGAGGATCAGGTCAGTTCCAAGGCAGGGTGTGGTGGAGCACTGGATGGCCATAGGATCAGATTATTGGCTTCCCTAGATGGCCTAGCACACGTATGAATTATCTCAGGGCTGCAGCTGTGATAATGTGAGGACAGATGCATGGGTGGATGGGAGTGTTGGGGTAGAACTAACTTGAAAAACCAAGGCTGCATGAAAAAGGTTATAGGCAGGCCAGGTCTCAGTCCATATAGGGAAGGCCTGTATGAAGTTAACAAATGCTAACTTCACCTCAAGACAATAAAATTGCCCAATTTGCCAGTGAGGCCTATTCGAAAAAGCTTCCTCTTTTACATAAAAAAACAAACAAAAATAATAGCTTTTCATTAAAACCCTCTGGAATTTGGTATCTTTTTTTTTTTAATGCACATTGGGGTTTTGCTTGCATGTATGTCTGTGTGAGGATGCCAGATCCCCTGGAACTGGAGTTACACATAGTTGTGAACTGCCATATGGGTGCTGGGCATTGAACCTGGGTCATTTGGAAGAGCAGTCAGCGCTCTTAACAGCTGAGCGATGCCTCCATCCCAGAATTTGATCTCTCACTGGGTCATACTTTCAAAAATACATGTAGAGTAACAAGTGGCATTCTTCTGCTAAAAAGGCAGAAAAACAAATGGCTTAAAAACCCTTTTCCCAATTTTCTTCTGAAAAGAAGAATGAAAAGTTATGTCTCTCCCCATTTCCAACAGGGACCACCAAACCCTGGGATGACTTCTCTTTCTTGGTTGGGGGAATCCTGTGTGCAGTGGACTCTCTGATAGTAATGTTCTGAAGGCATGAAAAGATCAAGCCTCAAAGGTTTGGGAAGTGTGGAGTGAAATTGTGACTCAGCAGGAGCCAGAGGCTCCCAAGTGTTCCTGTGGCTGGGATTATCTGAGGGGCCTTGGGCCTAGTGACACTGGCTGGCTCCTTACTTATCATGTTGGGGTCTTGGTATCGCCTCACAAGTCCCTGGGAGGTAGTCTGCATGACAGAAACTATTTTCTGTTAAAAACCAAAGCAAACCCCAAACAGCAAACAGCACTGCACATTAAACAGGCCGCAGGGGAAAAGAAGAAAACTGGGGGAGTCAGTTCACTCCCTCCACCATGTGGGACCTGGTGATTGAACTCAGGTCACCAAGCTTGGTCGCAGGCCCTTTTACCCACTGAACCATCTTGCCAGCCCACCATTTAACTCTTAATTCAACTTTACAGGAAACCTTTCCTGTGTTTTCTTTTTAGACTTGGTGTACAGGAAGTTTCTCAATAAAACGAAGTCCGATGGTACAACGTTAAAGACATATTGGCTGGCTGCGGTTCACAATCTGTAACTCCAGCACTTAGGAGGCTGGGACAGGAAGACTGTGAGCTCAAGGGCAGTGTGAAACCCTGTCTCAATAAATAAATAAATATATGCATAAAATAACGTCTCTAGCCAACGAGTTCCGTCTTTGGTATAAGAAGAAGCATGAGGACAAAGGGGCAGGAGCACACTTTTAGAGGTGAAAAACCATGGTTCGGATTTTTTTTCATTAGAGGTATGACAGTACACACCTATAACCCTCCTGGCACATGGAGGCAGAAACAGCAAAGTCACTGCAAGTTCAAAGCTAGCCCGGGCTACAGAGACCCTGTCTAAAAAACTAAAACCAAAAAGATTTCACTAGTCTTTGGTTTAAAATTATCATCACAAAGTTATAAACTGTAAGTATTGCAATCTTATGTAGAAACCCATGTATCTATACAATATGCATAAATAAATACCATATGCACGAGTTTGCAAGTCAGCAGAGATCACTTAGTATTCTGCAGGACTTTCTGGTGTTATAATTCAGCAGGGATAAAAAATGGAATATGAAAGTAACAAAATCCTGCTGCCCGCACCCTCCTTTCTTTCTGAAGGGCCAGCTTCAACTTCAAATCCTCTGGCTTTAGCTGGGCGGTGGTGGCACATGCCTTTAATCCCAGCACTCGGGAGGCAGAGGCAGGCGGATCTTTGTGAGTTCGAGGCCAGCCTGGTCTACAGAGCGAGAGCCAGGAAAGGCACAAAGCTACACAGAGAAACCCTGTCTTGAAAAACCAAAAAAAAAAAAAAAATCCTCTGGCTTCAGTCCTGAGTGCTGGTGCTGGATGATGGGCACAAACTGCCACACCCGTATCCTAGCCTTAGCAAGATTCAACCAGATCTGGGTACACAAAAGCTGTTTGAAGAACAAACCCCACAATATACATACAGGACAAAATCACACTGAGGCAACTGTTCAGGAGCTGGGGGGCACAGCAGATCACCTTACAAACTGCATAACACTCAGACAAAGCTTGAAATACACACAGCCTTCAGTGGTCATCACAGCTACATTCTCCAAAAACACAAGGAGAGAAAACAGCGTAGGAAAATTCAAGGATGAAAACTCAAGTACTCAGTATGCGTAGGACTAGGACCCAGGACCACACCCCCACACTCCCAATCCCAGGACAGCACTCATGCCCTTCATAATGCCCAGCTCCATGGTCTATTCTAGAGGGACCTAACACAACTGTAGCACACCATCCATCTCCACTTCTGCCGTAACCTGGGTACAGACAGGCAAGGAAACCCTGTGTGCCAGGCAGAGTCCTGTTCCGATGGAGGTAATGGGCCATCCCCAAGGTCAGAGAAGTAGTTATAAAAGCAGCTGCTGCAGGGTATGGCAAGAACACACCTGTAATCCCAGCACTCAGGAGGCTGAGGCAGGGGGATCTCAGGTTTCAGGCCAGACTAGGCTCTGATGGCAAGGCTCTCTCAAGGAAGGTAACGAAAATTAAACCAAAATACAGACCAGCTGCCTTGCTGAGGATAAAGGGAGCCGAACCCAAAGTGCATTTCTAGCTACTTTGGGGGTGGGAAAATGCCGGGCAGGGCAGGTTCTGTCTGGGTTTCCACACACTGTTTCAGGTTTTGTCGGGACATCAGGTTAATGGGAGGTTTGGGGAGAATGATGCTCTCAGGTGATGGGATGACATAGTTAAGTGTCTCACAGGGATGGGTCAGGGTTCAGCTCCGTTTGTGGGTTTCTGGGTCCCAAGAGCCATGTTGGTGTAGGAATGTTTGGTGGCCCCACCCCTGTAACCTAAGCACCCACTCTTCCCCTAGGGCAGCACCTTCAGAGCTCTGGGCAGCCGGGCCAGACACACCTGTGTCACCTGGTCTTATGACCCCCTCCCCTTCCAAGTTTTTGTTTAGTGTGTCCGAGTACCACATGTGTGCAGTGCCTAGAGACACCAGAAGAGGGTGCCGGAGTCCCTGGAAGCACACTTAACAGACAGTGTGGGTGGGTGCTGGGAACAGAACTCAGGACTGCTAGAACAGTCAGAACTCTAGATCTCTAACCGCTGAGCCATCTCTCCAGCCCAGCTCCCCTATAACAGCTGGGTTACTGTAAAGGACACAGGATGGAGGCACTAGGTGTGAAAGATGGGATGGGAACAGTGCCCACTCAGCTGCGGAATCCCCATGTGGCTGGTTTAGGGCTGAGATACAGGAAGATTCATCAGTTTTCACTGGCTTCACGGTGCTTTGGGGAGGTGGGTGCAAAGCAGGGTTTTACCAACTATAGCAAAGCCGCATCTGTATGCAGGGAGGAAAGACTGTTAGGATGCCCGAGCCAACGTGTTCCCAGGGTATATTTTGGGGTCTAATTATGTTTTTTACCTAAATCCTGGGGCTCTTCAAAGTAAACTTCCATCCCACTTTCCCACTAAGGATCCATACCCACAGCTCATACACAAAATGTTATAGCACAATTCTGACAACTGCTTTAGAAGTGTATTTTTTCACACTTTCATTTTATCTAAAGCAACAGCGCAAAACCAGTTACATCTCACACACACACACTTTAAGACAGTCTTATTCTGTAGCTTTGGATGGACTGGAACTCACTATGCAGAGTGTGCTAGGCCTAGATTCAGAGATCCACCTGTCTACGCCTCACAAGTGCTGGGATCAAAGGCAGGCGCTACTACATCCAGCTGAGACGCATTTGTGAAAAATGGGCTCAGCCATCTTTCCACTTGTTTACTTTAACATGACTTGACAGCTGTATTAAATATCTAACAACTTAAAGAAAAAACTATTTCCTAAGCCAACTGCACACTAGGTCAGTGTTCAATCTTTTTTTTTTTTTTTTTTTGGTTTTTCGAGACAGGGTTTCTCTGTGTAGCTTTGCGCCTTTCCTGGAACTCACTTGGTAGCCCAGGCTGGCCTCGAACTCACAGAGATCCGCCTGGCTCTGCCTCCCGAGTGCTGGGATTAAAGGCGTGCGCCACCACCGCCCGGCAGTGTTCAATCTTTATCGTCAGCTTGACTGGATTTACAGTCATCATGAAAACACACTTCTGGGGTGTCTGCAAGGATGTTTCCAGAAAGGCTAAGGTAGGGAGGAAGAACCACCTTGGCTTTGGGTATCTCCACCTTATAGGATGGGGCCCTGGATCTGAGCAGCAGCACTCGTGTTTCCTGACTATAGATGTCACGTGACCAGCCCTCTCAAGCTCCTGCCGCCATGTTTTTCCTGTTGGATGCCTCAAACTGAGATGAAACAAACCCTCACTCCCTTAAGCTGTTTTTGCCAGGGATTTTTGTCACAGCTAATAGTTAGCAACATGCTATTTGCCATTACTGCTCTGCAACCAGGTGCTCAGAGCACTCTGCAGATTCCTCCCTTCACCCAGTAAGCACAAAAGCCCCTCAGACAGTTCAGAGTAGGCGAGACATGTGGCTTCCTACAAGCAAATTGTCAGTCTTTATTTATTTCATTTTTAAAAGTAAAATTACAAATGGCATGCCGTTTCTGGAGGCAATTCAACAGATTCTCTGCTGCTGCTGAGGGTACAGACTGACTTTCATAGCAGCGGTTTCATTCCAGTATTTCTTGTGTATGTCTTTGTATGGTGTCTGGGATCAAAGGGTCTGCAAAATAAAAAGATTTGAACTTCAGGCTTGTCATTAGAAAAAAGAGCAAGCATCCACAACACTGACTGACAAGGAAGAGGCAGGGCAATGTCCCCATCTGTCTTCACAGTTTACTTGGCTCAGGTTTCCCGCTGAGCCATGATTTAGTAGACTCCACTGATGACTTGTGTGCACTTTCTGCTTTTACATTTACTCCCCAGACGAAAACAGGTCACCTCCAGCAACATTCTTAGTAACTTGAGGTTGTGTAGCAGTACTTAAGTGTCCAACAGAAACCACTCCGTCTGCTAAACAATATCTTGACTGCAAAGCTTCTCTGACTGTTGGTGGATCGACAATGGCATGGCAGAGCCATCATCACCGTGGCAACAGTACCCAGGACCTATCAGAGGAACATTGCACATGGAACCGCTGGCTCTTGAGCAGGCATGCCTCAGCTTCCTCTGGAGTATGCTTTTTCTGCAAGTCTGGTGTGCTCTCGGGTACCATCAACCCAGTGCAGGTCCAAGACTACAGATCAGGTAGCACGCCACCGAGTCCTGCTGGCCAGAATCAGGATCCATGTCCTACCAAATAAGAGCACCGACCATGTCCCGAGCTCTTCTAAGGGGTAAGTACATGTCAAGTGATATATAAGGTGGCAAGCAGAGCAAACAATTGGGGCCTTCTCAGAAGTACCTTTCATTCTTCTGCAGTAACATAAGCAGATGTGCCTGTACATTTTGTGCAAGAACTCCACCCAGTGGCCAGCATCATCGGCTCGGGAAGTCACCGACAGAACACTCTCTTTTATTATTATTCGTGTGCATGTGCTGGGAATGGAACTCAGGATGTCGCTTACACTAGGAAAGTGATCTACTACTGAGCTATATAGCCTCACACTTTCTGTTTTCCGTTTTTTAAAAGGGTCTTGCTCTATGGCCTGGGCTGGTTTGGAACTCTCCTTTCTCAGCCGCCAGAGCGTCGGCACTTTGCAGACAAAGGCCACAGGAGTAACCATCAATTTCCTAGTTCGTTCAATAAACCTTCCTAACCCTGGTTGGTACAAGGGGTCATGTGGACACCTTGGGCCCAGAGAACCAGCTGTTCGACAGCTAGGGCACTTTGCACGTTCCTAAGATAAGAACAGCGTTCTAGAGGTCAGGGAGATGGCTCAGCAGTTAACAGCACTTACCCGGCAAGCCCAGTTCTATCCCTGGACCCCTTGTAAAAGGCGGGAGGAGGGACCTGACTACACAAAATTGTCGTCTGACTTCCACTCCCACGCTGTGGCAGGGGCATGCACGCACATCATACATACACATAATTCTATTTCATGCTAAAAATTCTGGAGAAGGAATCCCACGCGAGGCAGGACCCGGCTTGGCCGTCCACGTGCACGACGGGTCCGAGGCAGGAGCCCCCCAGGCAGGACTGGACATGAGGCCGAGTTCGAGGCTGCAGCCCCGGACAGGGCTGGACGCGCCAGGTTCGCGGCTCACCTCAGCTGCCGAGACGCGGAGGCCCACCCACCACTTCTCTGGTCCTCGCTATAGCAAGACTACCCGCCGCGTTACCGTAGCAATCAGCCGCCGCCAACGGAACCGGAACCTGTGTCGGGAAGAGACTCCTTCCCGGCGTGCCGCGGGCGGCAGAAGCCCCGCCCAGCGCCGATCCTGTCATCCTGGAGTATCCCTGTAGGCTTCGATTGCCCTCAGAGGAAAGTCGTCTTCCTGTCGTCGCGCCTCTCATTGCCCTTCTGCGTGACCCTGATGGACGTTCAGTTTGTCCAATCAACACGCAAAGCGGTCGTCTACGCTCACTAACAAGCCTGTAGGACGCGGGTTTCAGGGACGGCCCACCGTCACGGTGTGGGCGATATGATTGGTGGAATTGAGCCAGTATTGTCCAATCACGGAGACTCAGCTCGGAGCCTGCCCAATGAGAGCCTCCGGTGGGCGGGCCCGGCACCACGGCCACCGTAAGCCCCGGGTTGGCCGCAGAGGCGGTGGGCAGCAAGCGGGTATGAGCGCGTCCCTGAGCCGGGCGGCGGCGGCTCTGCTGCGCTGGGGGCGCGGTGCGGTCGGCGGTGGCCTGCCAGGGATCGGCGTGCGGGCGGCGAGCACGGGCGGCCAGGCGGAGCAGCTGGACGCGCTGGTGAAGAAGGACAAGGTGGTGGTGTTCCTCAAGGGGACGCCCGAGCAGCCCCAGTGCGGCTTCAGCAACGCCGTGGTGCAGATCCTGCGACTGCACGGCGTCCGCGACTACGCGGCCTACAACGTGCTGGACGACCCGGAGCTGCGGCAAGGTCAGGCCCCTGGGATCCGGCGGCGAGGGCGCGGTGAACTTGAGCTGATCCCGAGGAGCAGGGGCCGTGGTTGTGTAGCCACCTGGGCTGGGGGTTCGCCTCACCTCACCTCGGGGCGAGCTGTCTCTGGCTGCGTCGGAGGAAGGTGGTCAGTAGCATGACCCCTCACCGGGTCAGCTGGGGGGTAGCTTGCTGTGGGGGACGCGCAGCGAGTACCTGCGACTTGTTGACGCAATGGGGACAGTTTGAGGGTCTTGGAAGCCAGCGGCCTACTTGCTAGGTGAGAGACTGGTACTGCGTAGGGAGGAGGTTTCAGGCTTGCCTGTGTGTGCCTAATGAGGGCAAAGGCTAGCCTCTAGTGTTTAAGGCTCCGGGTGTCAGGGACTGTCTTCTTGCTGCAGAGAGGGTTGCACCATAGTCCAGCTGGACTCACGTTGGGATCTGATTTCGGGGGAAAGACGAACTTTGGTTTTTAGATCCCGTAGCACAGAAGGGCAGTGTATGAGGGCTGGGGCTTGGAAGAGGTTCAGCGGGAAGAGGAAGACACGGCTTCTGACCCCCACCAGATTAACAAACTGCCTCGAGGTAGGGGCCCAAGGGTCAGAGGACCGAACAGCCAGACCTGTGGCTTTTCACCGGCCCCGAGGCAAAGAAACTGGGTCCTGATGGCTAGTTGACATCCTTTATGCAAACTCCCAGGCACCTTACTCAGTTTTCTGCTTGCTCTGAGTGGGGAGGAGAAAGGCCAGGCACTTGGGCCTGATCCTTGCCAAGAATTGGTCAAGGTAGGTGGAGCCCGCTCCTCCTGCAGTGGAATTGGGGGCGGGGGAGGGGGGGACTGAGTAGCTCCCCCACCACCACCCCATCTTCCTGACCCAGTGCTCTGGTTTGACCACTCCGCTGAAAGGAGACCTGTCTGTGTTAACATGGAGCGTTTGACATTTGAAATTACTGACTATAGTCATTCTTCTTATGGTCCTTCTCTTTGATGAGACAGGCTGGGGAGAGCAGATTTGGGTTAGAATCTTCTGTGGCCTAACTGCATTTCATTTTCAGTAAAGTGAAGATTCTGACACTGGCCGAGTTCATAAGGAGCCGAGAAACTGAAAATTGTAGCTGGACATAGTAAATCAGTGTCTGTCATCCCAGCACTTTGGAGGCTGAGGCAGGAGGATCACCAGTTCAAGGCCAGACTGCACTGCATTATGGGAACTCCCCCCATCCCCTCTGCACAGAATATCATCCTATCTGGCACAGAAGGCACCCACTAAATGGCAGCTACTTTACTATTAAACTGGATGGTTTTCAAATCACTTTTCTCCAGGTTGTCTAGAGTAGCTGACCCTACATTTGTTCTCTGACAGTACTGCGGGACCGAGCTCGAGGGTAGAGCAGAAGAAGCAAGGCAAGTGCTCTCAGGAATGGTGGCAAGCCATGCATTGTGCTCAGAACCCCCGTGTTTTCCTCCTCAGCTAACACTGGCTGTTTGCTAGGCTCCAGGGTTATCTAGCTCAGGGCAAGCTGTAGTTTTGGGTCAGAGGTGGCTCCTTGCTGGGGAAGATAAGCACCTACTCTGCAGTCTGAACTGGGGCCTACCCACAGTTGCCCTGCAAGCACTCTTAGCAGACAGTTGCATTGTGGAGATCTTGCTTAATATGCAGTCTGAGGGTCTTTCTTTGGTTTAGATTTTATGTTCCTCTGTGTAGTGTAACTGGAGGCAAGCTATAATGGAATACAATAATATGAGTACCTTTTAAAAGCAAGGAGGTTTGCTGTCTTCCATCTCACATGTCTGGCCTCTAATCTGTGTCATTAAGTACTCAAATGAGAGAAGAATTTAACCCTTCCTTTATTATTATTTTTATTGAGACAGGCTAGTCAAGCTGGCCTAGAACTCACTGTATAGATCAGGCTGCCCCAGAACTCAGATTGATTCTGCTGCCTTCAAGTGCTGGAATTACAGATGTGAGCTATCATGCCCAGCCACAACCCTTACGTTTCTTGACTGTTGATTTCATTGACTTGTTAATTTGGTTAATAAGTGTGCTATCCAAATAATTAAACATGTGTCTCCTGTGGCTTAGAGAAGGGCTGCCATTGGACTGGGCAGGGTGATGTGAGTGTGCTCCCCTAGTGCGGCCTTTGTTAGCCAGGTTAGGCCTTTGCAGTGTGGAGACTCTTCAAATCATTGTCTACACCCTGAGTTTGCCAAGGGGCAGGCAGGCAGGCAAGCAGCTCATTCTCGCTTTGCTGGACAAGGAGGGGCCTCCCACCTGTACTGCTGCGGCGTGGGACTTCCGTAGCATCAGCCCTTCCTTTTCCCTTGTGCCAGAATTTTACCAAGGGCCCTGGTTCTCACCCAGGGTCCAGGAAGTGTGGTGCAGAGAGGCCTTCTGGACCTCACTTTTATTACCTGGGGTACACAGCCACAGGGCTCTTGAGGAAGTCAGGGCACAGTGCAGCCTCATGGTTCCTTGGGCTTCCCACTGGTGACCTTGTGAGATCTGGCCTGTCTGCACACAGCATTTCACCTTTGGGAGGGCAGGTGCAATATTCTTTGGTGCTGGGAATGCCACTTGAGCCGGGCAGGCTTTCTGTGACTGTTGTTATGGCTAAGGAGAGACTGGTGTTACAGTCACATCGGACACCTCTGTGAGTGCTCTGGCAGTCCTGTATCCATCCCCACGTGCTCTTGCATCAGGAGCAGTGCCTGCCAGAGTAGGAGGTTGAATGGTATCGGGGACTATAGGGGTCCAGTCCCTCGATAGTCCCCTCCCAGGGTCCGGGAAGAATCTTCAACCAGCTGATAATTAATCTTTGATAAAAAGAAATGAATCTATGTACACCAAACTCCTTAATTTATACACTTTATTATTCTGTGATAGTTCTCTCTCTACACAGCTTCTATTCTGCTCTCATGTCTAGCTCCTTTCTTGCCTGATTTCTCTGTATTTATCTACTGTCCCCTCTAGGTTCTATCTTAATTCCTTCATCTAGTTCTGTCCCTTCTAGGTTCTCATCTATCTAGTTCTTTCCCCTATCAGCTCCTCTCCCGTCTCCTTCTCTCTCATCTGGCTCTTCCTCATCTTGTTCTTCCCCATCTGGCTCTTCCTCAGCTTCCATCTCATTCCTCTAGTCCTCTCTTCTAGCCCTTCAATCTAGTTCTTCCCCATCTCAGTTTGTTCCTCTCAAGTTCTTACCCATCTAGTTCTTCCATTCTCTTTTCTCTTCTCTGCCCTGTGCCCTGGAAGTCCCGGTATATAAAGGGAGGGTCCGAGCTAAATTGTGTAAAGCTATTACTTAACATCCACCTCTCCTAGGCGGTGTCTCCTTGTGGAATTTACCATAAATCAGGAGACTTGCATGTGGGCTGTTATCACTGTTAGTCCTCGGAAGTTGGGCGCCCACCTGGGTGGTGTTTCCTGTAGTCCTTGAAGAAAGTGACTAAGGGAGATATCTGATTCCAGAGAAAGCCTTTCCTGAGGCTGTTCTCCAAATACCTGGAATGTGTATGTCCAGAGTCTACACTGTTAGTCCTTCTTAGGGGGAAGTCAATTGCAAAAACTATGAAGGCACACATGATTTTCATAACAGAATACAGCTGATATATAACAAGCCAAGTAACACCAAAAACTCCTTGGGATTTGGCTTCCTCTGGAGGAATTCCCTGATTCCTCCAGGTAGTGACTTTGCCATAACCAGCTGAGTTCTTATGATATTTTCCTGCGGCCTGCAGCAGAATGGTGATGAATGCATAACTCTTAGACTATTTTTTCTTGTCCTTATGACTTGTAAACTTGTTGCCGCATTAGCCTATGTGACATTGCCATATGTGTGTCCATTACATGACACCATCAGAGTAGCTGGCCTCGCTGTCGCTGTGGACATGGCACTGTCTTGGTGCTGGGACATTTGGAGTCCTCCCTGCAGGCTGTCGTCTCCCATGGTTGTTTTCTCACAGGCTGTCATGTGTATTAGAAGCTCTTCTTTGAGTCTCACTGTGAACTTTCTTTTCCTCCGCACCCTTCTCCCAGGCTTCTTCCCCGCAGCCTGTAAGAGCTTACGAAGCAGTGTCTCAGCATTCAAGGCAATAGTTGGGCACTAATTACTCGGGCGAATATTGGAGGTTGGATACTCGGTTGTGTGTGTGCCCTTCTGTGGGCCAAGCCGTGTGCTGTGGGTGTCTGGTACCAGCACTTTGGAACTGTAACAGTCAGTGTATTGGAGATGAGCAGAGCTATTTCCCTACTCCCAGAGCCCGGAGTGGAGACAGACTTGCTCTGTGAAGGGCCAGGAGGTCTGTGCGCTCCTGAGCCCCCATTTCATTTGCTGCTCTGTTGTTGGAGGCTGCAAGTAGACTTGGATGTTGTATAATCAGTGAGCAAGCTGAATTCAATAAAACTTTATTTGCAAACTCAGGAAGAGGTTTAGCTTGAAGCCAGCTTGCAACCCCCAGGTCTAGAGGGGCCCATGTAGGACAGAATACGTGTGTAAGGTGTTCATGACAACATGGCTTGTGGTGGGGACGAACCCACAAGATGGGATCTTGGTCTCTTAGCAGACAGGATTAGCAGATGGAAGTTCAGTGCTGTAGGGTAAAACTATACTGAGCTTGAAACCAACTAGATC